ATACATACATACATACATACATACATACATACATACATACATACATACATACATAAAGTTAAACAAAGAGAGACAGAGAGATAGCGAGAGGCCTTGACCATCATTTATTTATTCATGGTGCAGAAACGAGAGAGAGAGAGTAAAGGAGAGAGAGAGAGAGAGAGAGAGAGAGAGAGAGAGAGAGAGAGATAAGGAGATACTACTGGGGGTCGTGGACAGAAAGACGTTGAAGAGCCACAGTAGTTTTACTTACTGGAACTTAAACTGATTGTACTTTAAATTACGGTGACATTTATTCAGATCTAAAGAGACGGAGTAATGTATCTGCGTCAATTAGATCAAGCTGATAGTTCATTGTCTTTGACAACTTTTGGCGTCGGAGAAATTTCCGAGATGTGACGTAAGCAAGGAGTTTTTACTGTAAACTCCTTGGACGTAGAGTCCTAGGCCAAGGGCCTAGCCTAGTCAACTAGTCTTGTCTTGTCAGAAGCCAGAGGAGAGTAGCCTACCAACTGTAGTCATCCAGCACAGAATTGTGAGAATTCTACACTTAAGTGTAGGCCTAGAATTCTGTGTCCTCCAGTCAATGCAGTCTAGGCCTAGGCTAGGGCCTAAACTCTAAACTTTGAGAAAAGAAGAGTTGGGTGGGTCTACTGACTAGTGACTACCACAGAATTCTACACTAATTCTGTGCTGACTACTGACTGTGTCATTTGACTGAGTCAGAGAGAATGTGTTTGGTTCAGGTGCCTTCCTGCCCTAGATTCTAGATCTAGATTCTAGAGATATACCTTGTATCTAGATCTAGAATTAGATCTAGAATTCAAACGTCTGTTGAGCTGAGCCTGAGGAAAGGTTTACCGTCTGGTTCATTTCGTCAAAGTAAAGTCAATGAGACATGACTGAGACTCGAAGTAGTCTAGATTTCTAGGTGAAGAGGTAAATGTTTACTGAGATTCTAGATTATTATAATTATATATGCACCCACACCTAGATATATACATATCTAGATCTAGAATCTAGATCTAGGTCTCAATCTAGATCTAGATCTATCTAGATATATAGATTATCTAGATCTAGATATAGATGCATTGATTTGAGGGCTAAACTGCCACTTTTTGCTGTAGAACACACATAATATAGCCACTAAAACGCTTGCAAATCAAAGTAAAAAATATCAATCCTAAACATCAAATCATTATTAAGTGAAATGCAGGGGGCATGCTCCCCTGATACCCCCATATTGTTAAATTTACTATTTTCAAACATCAATAACTCACTCAATCACTATTGTTTTGCGGCTAAAATGAAGACCATATATTCGTGTTTAGCTTGCAAAATACGGCTGCCCAAAATACTTACTAATCTAGATCTAGAATCTACTACTAGATTCTAGATCTAGAATCTAGATCTAGAAAAGAAGTAGATTCTAGGTCTAGATCTAGATCTATATAAAACGGGCGGTATTTTTTTACTTTCCCTCCCGTCTCACACTCAGCTACCAATTGTCTATTTTCTACTAAATATTGATGCGCTGAACACGAATATCAACTTCATTTCCGTCGCAAATTAATAGTTTTTGAAATATTTAATTGTTTTTAACCGAGATAGACATGCTTTGGACCAATCGGGGGGTTCCAGGAGGGCCTGCCCCACTGGGGTAAAAGAAAATCTGGGGG